GACCAGGCAGGAGAACCGAGATGTAGGCTAGTGTGACTAATCTTGTCCTTGGTCATCCTGTGAATAAAAGCAATCTGAATGCAGACAAGCCCAAGTAACACAAGATGGTCCTGACTCTTGGGTACAGAGCACTGGAAAAATAATGTGTCTTGGATACCCAGAGTTTTAGTGGACTAGGTTCTAGAATCCTCTGGGAGGTGATAGAGTGGAAATTCAGGAGAGAGGGCACACTTTTTGAAGAAGAACATTGCCCAAATAAAGGCTAAGAGATGAACCAAGGATAGGTGAAGTGGCTATGTAATTCCAGAAATGAGAAGGGCAGAGACATAAGGACCTGCGTTTGAGGCTGGCCTGGCCTACATAGCAAGACCTTGTGTAAGGGGGGAAAAAACAACAACAAAACAAATGGAAAAGTGGTCCAGCTCCTGGGAGAGCAAATGCCTACAAGTTTCCAGGAAGGCAAATAATGTGAACAGAGAAAGAGAGTTAAGGAGAAACCTCTATAAGAGGTGGCAAGATCCCCAAAGTGGGAGTGAAGAGATTATTTAACTAAGGACATGGGATTGAGGGTAGGAGAAAAGATAAAGAAAGAAAAGGATGACCCAACAGAGGAAGTGCCTTTTCAAGGAAACAACATGGTACACTGCCTAGAAGGGAAAAGACCATCCCGAGGCCGCAACGGACAGCACAAGTCACGGGAAGAAGAGGAAGGCACAAACAAGATAGACCTTCAAAGAAGTGACACTGAAGGACCTGGGCCTACCGAAGGAGGAGGGTCAAGTCAGACTGCAGGAGAACGAAACCTCAGGCCTGGGTGAGAAAAGACTGCAGCACAGCGAAACAAGTACCAGTGAGGAAAGGAGAAACCCGGCCAGCGTAGGCACGGAAGTAAGTAATGCTGCAAAAGATGCACGGGCGAGAGATGACAGTAGGACTGACAGAGAAGAGGCGGCCACAGAGCAGGCGGGATCCTCAGCGATGGCAGAATCGAGGGGAGGTGGCTCAGGGCCGAGGAGGGAGGATGCCCGAGTGGCGAAGACGCGGGGCGGGGGCGCTGACCTGGTGCAGGGCGCTGATGCCATCGGCATTAGTGGAGTCGAGCACCGCACGGGCAGGTGAAGGGACGGCGGGGTCGGACGCAGCGCCGGACCCGGGACCGAGATCCGCTGCCCGCAGCATCAGGCGAGCCTCATCCAGATCGCCACCCGCACAGGCCGCCAGGAACTCGGCGGCGCGCTCGAAGCGGACCGTGCGGGTACGCCGCTCCCCGGGGCCCGGGTCAGCGCCCGCCCGCGCCCCCCACTGCCGCAGCTGCTCCTGCCGCCGCTCACGGGCGGCCGCAGCAGCCGCCGCCGCCCCCGGGCCCGCTGCCGGGCCATCCTCGCCGGACATCGCGCCGGCCGCCCGCCCGCCCACTAAGCGAACGAGGGAGCGCCGGGCGACGAACAGCCGCCACCCGCCCGCCCCGGGGGCCGCCGGGAAGGGCCGCGCGACAAGCACCGCCCAGAAGCTCGCCCAGCCCCCGCTCTGTATATAGACGTCACGGCTGTAAACCAAAGCCCTCTGGGAAACGGAGTCCTGATTGAGACTTGCGTAACCATCGCTGAGGGTAAGGGCCTAAAAGGAACCCCCGCATGGCGAGCTGGGAAGTGGAGTTTCTCCCCTTTGAGGAGACTCGCATAACTTGGGCAGATAGGTTAGAGAATGAGGCAGCAGGCAGGCCGCCAGGAGTGCTGGGAAATGGGTTCTACAAGCGGAAGTTTTCGCTAGACTCCCTATATCCTGAGGCACGTTTAGCAATCCGGAGCTGGAAGGGGTCAAATGAAAACAGTAAAACGGCACACTTCAATCCCAGTACTTGAGAGGCAGAAACAGACAAATCTCTGAGTTCCAGGACAGCCAAACCTACACAGAGAAACCTTCTCCCAAAAAACCAAGAAGCAAAAAGAAAACTGCCCCTAGGGCGTGCTGGGAATCTGGGTAGAGCGGCTGGACAGCCGTAGCATGCTGGGAAATGTAGTGTACTTTGTAAAGAGACTGACCAAAGACATTTGGGAAATGATGGCAGATAGCGGATCCTGAGAGACACAGAAATAAAATTTGCATACTTTTTATGATTTGTTTTGAGATAGGATGGCCCTCGAACTCACTAATAATGCCCTTGAACTGCTGATCTTCCAGTCTCCATCTCCTAATTTCTGGGATTACAGGAGGTTGGTTTTATTGGGGGGGGGGGGGTATTTGTGTATTGAGACAGGGTCTCACTATGTAGCCCCTCCTGGCTTGAAACTCGTTTTGAAGACCAGAAAGGCCTCGAACTCACAAAACATCGCCTCCTACTGCCTCTCGAGTGACAGAATTAAAGGAGTGCTACCACGCCGGACTTGTTTGGGTTATTTAATCTGTTCCTTCCCCATAGACTATAAATAAATTCGATTTGTTTTCGTTGAGCACAACTTAGCCCTAATAACTAGAACTGAGCCTGAAAGTAAACAAAAAAAAAATCGAATGAATGAATGGGCTCCCTAAAAGCATCAGGAAGACCAAGGACCCACGGGAAATTGAGTTCTCGAGATTAAAACCAGTCACTGCCAAACTCATTTTTTAACATTGCGATAAAGTTCCTGTGCAAAGTTCAAGGAAATCAGATAACACAAGGCAAGCTGGGAAATGTAGTCTCAAGGCCACACCTCCAAAGGGTTCATCTCCAGACTTCCAAATATGTCTCAGAACCCAAGGTATCTGAGTCAGTTTCCAGATCAAGAAAAAGCCTACATTTTCTAGTGGTAATAATTCTCTGAGCATACCAGAAAGAGAACCCCCAAACATGACCAAAATTATAATTCAGATTGTATCATGCTGTCCTATCATGCTAGGATTTTGTCAACTAAAATGTGATGCTCCACTAGGTTTGAAAGTTTTCTAATAGACCCAACAGAGAAGAACACTTAATAAACACCTAGTAAAAATGGGATCTTTCATATTACCTTCCCCAAAAATCCAAGTTGAGAAGGATAAAAAACATTTTGAGACAGGAACACAGACCTACTAAAGTATAACTGAAAGCTGTCAAAATTTGTATAGGGGAAACAAACGTTTTCCCTAAGGGGCACTAAAGCAGCCCATCCACTCCATAATCCTTGGATTTATGCAGAGAAATAAGCCATAAAACCTTTGAGGCCTGGGAAACAATGATCATAAATCCAAAAGGATAATCCCGTGTTTTCCGAGATACCTGAACCCTACCCCACACCACACACACACACACACACACATACACACACCCTTCTTCCCCAAGGCAAGAAGTCAGATATCTCCACAAGGAAGGGGAGCACTGACTCCACAAACTACCTTCCAATTTTCACTCCCTGACCACGGCATTCACAAACACCCTACTAAGACACACTAAATAGATGTGTTTTTAAAAACCACACATACCACTTTATAAAATTATCCACAAATAAGGCTACACCAGTGCACAGACAGAGGTAAGAACATTTTTAGCCAGATTTGGTCTGATTAGTGTCCCATCTCTCAAATTCTGGGAGTCTATACCTGCCCCTACACACATCTGGCCCTCAGATGTGTTGTTTAAAACTGTACTTAGAAGAGTTACTTACCTTGTAAAAAAACATTTTAAATCTAAGAGGCAATTTATATTTCAGGGACATGTATGGCTAGCCTGTCTGTGACTATTATTACACTGGCATTGGGTCTCCAAATGTTCATCAACAAGAAGCATATCTTGAGCTTATTAGTGTCCTACCTCCAACTAAGGAGCAGAAAGAAATTCACTCTCAAAATGTAGTCCAGACACTGAAATTATAGGAGAGGATTCCATCCCAAACCCCCAAATCAAGTCTTCTTCTTCTTTCTTTTTTTTTTTTTTTTTTTTGGTTTTTCGACACAGGGTTTCTCTGTATAGCCCTGGCTGTCCTAGAACTCACTCTGTAGACCAGGCTGGCCTCGAACTGAGAGATCCGCCTGCCTCTGCCTCCCAAGTGCTGGGATTAAGGGCGTGTGCCAGCACCGCCCGGCTCTCAAGTCATTTTTTAAAAAAGATTTATTAGGAATTTGTGTGTCTACACAATCATGCAAGTACACAAGTACACCACTAGAGGGTATCAGATCTCCTGTCGATAGAGTTACAGGCTATTGTGGGCTGCCGACATGGGTGCTGGGAATTGAGCTTGGGTCCTCTAGAAGAGCAGCGAGACTCCCAACTGTTGAGCCATCTCTTCTGCTCCAGAACCACATCTCTCTTGTTAATTATTATATTCATTTGCACACGAATGTTTATCTATGACAGCACAGGTGGAGGTCAGAGGGCAACTTGCAGGGATCACTGCTTTCTTTCCATTTGGGTCCTAGGGATCTAATCCAACCCAGGTCATAAAGCTTGGCAAGATACACATTTACCTGCTGGGCTATGTCCTGGGTCCTAGAATTACATCTTATAGATCTATTCCTGTATCAGCCCTGATCATTATTATGTTTTTTGAAGGGGGGTGTTTCTTTGTCTGTCTGTCTGTCTGTTTGTTTGTTGAGATGGGGTTTCTTGGTGTAGCCCTTGCTGCCATGGAACTTACTCTGTAGACCAGGCTGGCCTCAAACTCATGAGAAATGCCTGCCTCTGTCTCCCGAGTGCTGGGATTAAAGGCACATGCCACTATCACGTGTATTGCCATTATTTTTTGAGATGGGATCTCCTATAGCCCAGGATGGTCGTGAACTCACTGTGTAGCCAAGGGAGGACCTTGAAACCCTGATCCTCCTGTCTCCAGCTCCCAAATGTTGGGATTATTGTCGCTCACTATCATATCTAATTTAAGTGGAACTGGAGATTTAACCCAGGGTCTCATGAGGGCTAGACAAGCTGTACTCCCAGCCATGAACCCGACATTGCTTTAATGACAGTTGATGAGTCTCCCAGGCAATATGGAGCTGTCAATCAACCCACATAGCCAGCCAGCCAGCCACATAATAACAACCCTGAAAACTTAAGCAGAAGCCTGGGGACACTTTATTTTGAGTTACAGATGGGACACACTCCAGTGGCTCCTGGGCTTCACACAGTGGGACATGTCCTGGCAGGCTTACTTCCAGCGGCCTCCAACTCGGCCCTTCCCAGCTCCCTTTCGGCTGTGGGAGAAGAAGGTGGTGTCAGGAAGAGGTTCTGAGCCTCCAAGATAAGCTTAACACAGCAGTCTTTAAAATTCAGGAAGTCCACCAGATATCCACCCCTACCCAGAGGAAGTCGGGAGCAGAGGCCGGCAGTGCTATTTCTTTTTTGCAGTACTGGGTGCTGAGTCAGGGCCTCTTCCATGTTAAGTAAGTACTCTACCACTGAGCCACAAACCAGGCCTCTCACTGGGGAATTCTAGGCAGGCGCTTTACCTCTGAGCCACACCTCAAGTCCCTCACTGAGGTTTCTAGGTAGTGGTTCTACCACTGAGCCATGACCCCACCCCCACCCCTCACCCCCACCCCGCTGAGTGTAGCTTTTTCAGATAATGCCCAGAAAGGGCATTGGTGGTCACATGAGAGTTGACTCTCTTGGGTTAGCTCACTGAAAACTCATGCAAATTTACGTGCAAGGGGCTTGAGGGTAAAAACAGGGTTGGTCAGCCAGAGGTAGTAACTGACATACGACAGGGCTCAGGGAGGCTGGAAGAGTACAGAAAGGGTAAAAAGAGAAAGAGAGTGAGCAGGAAGCATCGAGAAGCCTGGGCATCAGTGATCTCAGCCCTGAAGAGGATGAAGCAGGAGGATCAGGAAATGTTTGAGGCCGGGCGGTGGCGGTGGTGGCGCACGCCTTTAATCCCAGCACTTGGGAGGCAGAGGCAGGCGGATTTCTGAGTTTGAGAGTTCAAGGCTAGCCTGGTCTACAGAGTGAGTTCCAGGACAGCCAGGGCTACACAGAAAACCCATGACTGAAAAATTCAAAAACAAAAAAAACAAAAAAAAAAGGAAATGTTTGAGGACAACCTGGGCTGTATAGGAAGAATATATATACATATATACATGTGTGTGTGTGTGTGTGTGTGTGTGTGTGTGCCAGGTATGATGGTTCTGTAATCCCTGTACTTGGAAGGTGGAGGCAGGCAAGTGTCAGGAGTTTAAGGGCAGCCTCAAATACAAATGGAGTTCTAGGTCATTCCAGCTTACAGGAGACTTGTCTTTTTTTTGTTGTTTGTTTTTGTTTTGTTTTGTTTTTCGAGACAGGGTTTCTCTGTGTAGCCCTGGCTGTCCTGGAACTCACTCTGTAGACCAGGCTTGCCTCGAACTCAGAAATCCGCCTGCCTCTGCCTCCTAAGTGCTGGGATTAAAGGCGTGCGTCACCACCGCCCGGCTTTGTTTGTTTGTTTGGTTGGTTGGTTGGTTTTTCTTTTTTCTTTTTCTTTTTTTTTTTTTGTTTTTTTGTTTTTGTTTTTGTTAGGAGACCTTGTCTTAATAAGAAGAGATAGAGAGGAGCAAAACTGACAGGAGAGGGAGGGACAGCTAGAGAGAGAGAAAAGAGAGAGGCCAATGAGATGGGTTAGCAGGTAAAGGTGCTTGCAGCCAAACATAAGATCTGAGCTTTATTTCCAGGACCACAAGAAAGAAAGAAGAAACCAAGTCTTCCGAGACATCCTCTGAGTGCACTCCATGTGTTGTTTGATGCACAACTGTCTGTAATTTAGCTCCAGTGGATCCAAACCTTCTGGTCTCCGTGGGCACCTACACCCATACATATACACACCCATACACACACATACACTCACACACATACAGTCACACACACATACAGTCACACACAGTCACACATTCATACACACACATACGCCCCACGTACACAGTCACACACATCCATACACATAGACATACACAAACACACATACACATGCACACACATGTGTTTATGCAAACATGATGTAAAAAAATGGTGTAAAATTACAGCAGAGGTGTTGATTCCCTAATTGGTTCTTGATTGTGTCAATTAAGGAGGCAGAAGCCAATTGCTGGGTAAATGAAAAAAGGTGGGACCTCCAGGTCCCAGGAGGAAGAGAAGGGACACAGGGAAAGGGAATTCTAAAGAGGTTTTGGAATGAGGAGGAAGCTGCAGACATGAAGGTCTTGGGGCACCTAGAATTTGTAGCTTCTGCTGTGAACAGAGGCCAAGGAGGATGGAGGGAGCTCATTGATAAGATTAGGGCAGGAAATCCTTCACCCAGCCACTGAGTTATCTAGCTAGTTCTAAAATAATAAAACTGGCTAGTGTTTTCCACCCGAGGGGCTAAGGTGGGCAGGAGGAGGAAGAGGGCAGCTGGGGCAGTTGTTGGCTGCTTGGCAAAGCTAGCCTTGAGGGGCTGGGGGAGTGATGGCAGCTTCCAGGAAAAACAGCCAGCTGGCCATCGGATGAGCCTGGCAGCGGCTGATCTTGGAGCCTAGCAGGGAGCCCGGGCAGAGCTCCCAAGAAGGCGGAACCGTGATTTTTTAAAATTACATGTAACAAAATAATATATACTCAGGAAGAAGAGAGATGGAGGGAGACTGAAACCTGAGCTGATAAGGACAAGCAAAAGATAAGGCCAACAATCCCAGCACTGCTGAGGCTAAATCCAGAGGATCAGTATTTCGAGGCCAGCCTCAGCTACCTAGTATGTCTGGACTATGTGAAACCTTGGCTTAAAAATAAATAATCAGACCAACAAAAAAGCCAGGAGTGGTAATTCATGACAACCATCCCAGCATTCCACTGACTTGAGGCAAAAAGATCTGCTTACACGTTCAAAGCCAGCCTGGGCTACACAGTGAGTTCTAGGCCAGCCTGGACTACGAAGTAAGACTTTGTCTTTAAATAAATAAAGTAAACTCACAAGAACATGTACAGATCGGATGTCTCGGGAAGCAAAGACAGGAGATAGCAAAAGGGCAGTGGTGTGCAGAAGTAGAGGGAGGGGGGAAGTAGAGGGGTTAAGGGAGAGAAGGAGGGAACAGAAGGGGCCGTAAGTGGAGGGTGGGAGTGGCACTTACAATTTCTGGGCATGGCTGATGCGGTTGTACAGCACGTTGATCTGTGGAGCAGGAAACCAAGCTAGGTAGATGATCAGCCAGGGCCCCGCCTGACACACCTCTCACCCAGCCTGGGCCCCAGCAGAGGCAGGGAGGTCTCACCTCATATTTCTGTTGCTTCAATTTCTCCATCAGGTCAAATTTCTCTGATTCCAGCTGGTGGATCCATTCTGACAGCTCCTGGGCCTTCTCCCTGACAAGCAGAGAAGGACCGGAAGTAGAGAAGGACCGGATGCAGCGAGACCCAGGCTGCGTTCTGGGTCCAGAGAGATTGAGACACCTACCCCAAGGCACGCAACAAGCCTCTTTGGGTTTGGTATAGCTGCTACATTCTTGCTAAGATTGTCCGCTGAAGGCTTTCAAATGTGTGGCCACTTTCTCAAACGGAAGTTCCCAAACGAAAGTCTCCCAATGGAGTGAAAAAAGAAATGGCTGCGAGCCCCAGAATGAAAGCTGTTTGATTTTTATTTATTACTTACATTGTGTGTGTGTGTGTGTGTGTGTGTGTGTGTGTGTGTCCTCCAACTCAATATACAGCAGAAGATGACCCTGAACTTATGCTCCTCCCAGCTCCTCTCTGAATGCTGTAATTCCACCTAACTGCGGGAGGGGCCCTGTGGATGCCAGACACTACAGGTCATGTCAGCACAGGGTAGCTTGCATCTGAGCGACATTTTGAACACAGAAAGCAACAGTGGCCTAGAAAACGAGTGCAATTGCCTGAAGTAACACAGCACCAAGACTCAGACCCGGAGCATCACCCGTGAAAGCCTTGTGAGAGCCGTCGGGACCTACCGGAGCTGGTCCTCCCCCATGTAGTCGATGTTCAAGGGCTTTTTCCTCTCAGACAGGATCCTGAGTTTCATCTCCCGACCAGTCTGTCGCTTCCCACGCTTCTGTTCTGCCTGGAGGGGGAGGAATCCCAAGGCAGAGATGGAATCTGGAGACTAAATCCACTCACTGTCCTTCAAAGCCAGTGCCTCCAACAGACGCAAGGAGTCTAACCTCAGACCTCCTCCTTTAGACCCACTGGTACAGCCTGCTCCCTTCCCCTTCAGACCCAGGGGTCCAGCCTCAGCCCTTTTCCCTCGGATCTAGGACTCCACACTACTGCCCTCCTCCCTCAATCCAGAGGTCTAGCCTCAGCCTCCTCTCTCAGAGCCAGGGGTCCAGCCTCTAGCTCTCTTCCTTTAGTCTCAGAGCCCCAGGCTCCAGCCCTCCCTCCTCAGACCCAGAAATTCAAACTCTATGCCTCCTCTCTCAAGCTTAGGAGTGCAGGTCTCAGTCTTCTCTCACACCCAGGCACCTCCAGAAGGACATTGTGGACAGAAGAGGAACAGAGACAATCAGCAGGGTGTCTCCCTCACCTACTTTGCCACATGCTATCTACAGTGACAGCTGCCCCTGAATGAGGTCCAGGCTTAGTCCTCCTCCTCAGGACCAGCACTCTGAAGCTTCCCTTCCCTCCTTCTTGTAAGTGCAGATTTCCACAGGCTAGACTCACCTTGACCAGGTAGCCCCCAAAATGAGCCCCCATATTGGACAGAACCTTCTTCTTTTTGGCATCATCCTCTGCTCTCTTCTTTGCCTCCTCCTCCTCCTTCCGCATCTTCTCCTCCTGTGAGAACAAAGAGGTTCGCTCCATGTGGCCCCACAGACCTGAGGGAGGAAGGTCCTAGCCTGGGTTCACTCCATGTGGCCCCACAGACCCGAGGGAGGACGTCCTAGCCTGAGTAGCTGATGGTACTGCTCCACGATTAGGAAGTTGAAGCCATGGAGGCATTCACTCCTTAATTTGGTATATAGTTCAGGCTAGCCTCAAATTCACAGAAATCCTCCTGCCTCAGCTTCTCCAGTGCTGGGATCATAGGTCTGAGCCCATCACACCCAACAAAGCTCAGTCTTTGTGCTATGGCCTGAGTCTCTTAATCCAGCCATGCCTGAAGTTAGATCAGCAGTAGACTTTTTATTTATATGGACTGTTCACCCTTCTAATAGGAAAATCCTTATGCTATACGTTACGGGCACTTTCTGAGAACCGCGGAGCGTATCAAACATGGGAAAGGACAGACACCTACCGCCAGCTTGGCCTGGCGTTCTCGCTCCTTCTCTGTTCTGAAGCGCTGCTGCTCGGCTCTCTCCGCGCGACGCCTCTCCTAGGGGTATTAGGGGGAAGATTGGGGCAGAGGAGGGAGATTCTTGGAGGCTATCCCCTCCCACAAGTTATCCCTCCACTAGTAGGCAGAAAACGAAATAAGTATAGTTTATTTTGTTTCATTTTCTTTTTTGAGACAGTCTCATATAGCCCAGGCTGGCCTCGAACTCATGGCAATCTTCCTGCCTCGGCCTCTAAAGTGCACGCCTAGCAGAAATACATACTGGAGTGCAGCCACCCAATGTCCCCACTGTTTCTCCCAGAGACCCCAAAGCACTATATGGAGGGAGGGAAGGGGAGATGTACTGGAGGACCCGGCCTTCCCAGCTCACAATGCGGTCTTTTAGCGCAATGAGCTCCTCCTCCTCCTTTTTCCGCTGCTCAAAGTGCACGTCGATTAGCGTCTGCAGCTCCAGTAAGTCTTTCTCCATGCGCTTCCGGTGGATGTCCTGAAGAGGGAGCCCGTGAGGCCACTGGACAGGGCCCTAGAGCCTACCCCATCCCAGCCCCAGGTGATGACTGACAGCCAGCTGGGATGGCTTCCAGCAGATGTCAGCAAAGCATTCCTTGCTAACAACATGACACTGGGGGTAAATCCAGGCTTTTCAAGAAGGAAGCAAAGATGAGCATTTGTCAGAAAGGGCTCAAGGCGCCAAAGATCCTGCAGCTGCGTCTGGGGTAGGACATCTGTCACTTACATCAAAGTCCACACGTTCGCCTTCTGGAATCTTCGGGGGAATCAAAGGAGGCACCACAGGACGGCTGTGTCGATAGAAATGGAGAGAGATCATCAACAGGCTGGCCTCCCTCACCTGCCTCACCACACGCTCTTCAGAATGATAGCCACCCCCCTGAGTCTGTGTGGAGACCACAGTCAGAGAAATACAGTTTGAATACTTTGGGTTTCATAAAACATGCAAGACTGTTCGATGTGCCTGTTTTGACATACTTGTAAAAAAAAAAAAAACTGGCAGGGTCTGGTGGCACAAATCTGTCATCCTAGCTACTTGGAAGTCTGAGGCAAGTTCAAGGCCTGCATGGTCTAGAGAGAATCTAAGGCCATCCCTGGAGACTTATGAGACACTGCCTCAAAATAAAAAGTAACAACAGGACTGGGATGAGATTCAGCAGCAGAAGACCTGCCAAGAATCCCCCAGTGAGGGGCTGGAGGCGTGCCTCAGTGGTAGTACACTTGACTAGAATCCCCCAGTGAGGGGCTGGGAGTGTGACTCAGGGCTACAGCCCTGCCTAAAATCCCTTAGTGAGGGGCTTGGGCGTGGCTCAGTGGTAAAGTACTGGCCTAGACTTCCTCAATCAGGGGCTGGATGTATGACTCAGGATGGAATACTTGTATCAAACATAGAAGCCCATGTATTGAATCCTCTGCATAAAAAGCAGGCAGGGAGAGTTCAGCAAACTAAGGCCCACGTGTCAATCCTGATGATCTGAGTTCCATTCCCTGAAAGCCACAAGGTAGAAAGAAAGAACGGACCCCTGTCAATCATCCTCTGAACCCCACGCTTGCACCATGCACACACCTCTACGATCACGCACTCACACGCAGAATAAATAATATCTCAAAGCTTAAAAGTGCTGCCTTTTCTTTGGCACATGCTCTGAGATACTTCACTTTCTTTTTAACCGTTTTCTTTTATGTGTACATTTGAGGCTCTGCCTGCTGCCTGGGTAACATGTATGGCCAAGTGCCCTCAGAGACTAGAAGAGGGCACTGGGATCCTCTGGAACTGGAGTTACAGATGTTTGTGAGCCGCCACGTGGATACTGGGAACTGAACCCAAGTCCTCTGGAAGAGCAGCAGTCAGTGCTTTTAACCAGTGAGCCACCTCTCCAGGCCTGGAAACTTTATTTCAAGGGTAAGGATGGAGCCCGGGGCTCATGCGTGCTAAAGGCCATGAACTTTAAAGTTGGGTGTTCTCTAAGTAGCTTACAGTTACCCACTTGCTTTAACGCTGTGCTACTTACTGTTTAACAGCAACAGCGTGCAGCTGTAACAAGAAAAATGTCTGCATGCTCAGGACACCTACAGTTTCTTTTAATAGCTATGATGTAAGATCAGCAAAACCCACAGACGCTGAACTTGGAATTACCGAGACTACTGTTCTGAGAACGCAACAATATCGTGCCCAGCGAACACTCTTTCCCAAGACCCAAGTTAACAGCAACTTCCTGAATAATTCACGTGTTAGCGCTTCCATGCCTCGGCAGGGCTCATCCACTTGGTGTCTCTACGGTCCATTTGTTGTCAATCCCAGAAGTCCGTGGACATGGACTCACCTCCTGCATCCCTTCCCCAGTAGCTCTCAAACCTGGAACTTGTTTAACTGCGTTCCTTCTTCCAAGGGGCTCTAACCCTGGCCCTAACATCACCCCCAGGCCTCCTCTTAGCTCAGCTTCCACAGCCTACATTGGCCTCCCTGTCTTAGCCACACTCATGACGACCTAGTTCTGCATCCAGAGTGACTTTTATATATAACCACTAACTTTGCGTGTAAGAAATGGCTTTCGTTGCCTACAATGTACCCAATGCCTCCTTCAACTAGCAAGGTTTCTATTGAGAGGATCCAGGTTATACCTCCCTCAAGAAGCCTTCCTTGATTAGCCTTGGGCTGGCACAGAGCCCCCTTGCACGGTGTTCTAGAACCTAGGCTCTTACTTTTATATCTGACCTGTTTCACAATGTAGGAAGGTCCTGAACTTCTTGCTTTAAGAATTAAGGTTGGCTGTTTCAAGCCCTCTTTTCTCTGCCTTTTGGGTGTCCTGTCTCTCTTGGTGGAGGAGCATGAGAGGATAGGTTTGTAACCACACCCACCCTGTAGCACCTCACCTGGGTTTGGGGCGCTCTTCTTCTGGTGGCAATGGGAGAATACAAAAAGATAATTAGCAAGAGTTGCATAGAGAAAGGCTTAGCACCCCTAAGAGGAAACCCAGGTGCCCTGAGAGCCCAGGGCTGGGGGAAAGACATTAGGAGAGGGAAGAGAAGTTGAGGTGGAGAAAAGGGGGAAAGGGGACCACTCGCATCAGATATACATTCTCCACTGGTGTGGGGACAGCCCTTCCCAGACCTCTGAAAGCCCAAGGGACCAAACTCCTGGACTATCCACAGTCATATTTACCCCTGCATCCTGCCTCACCCATCCTACCCAGCAATAAAGGGACCCTATTGCTTCTCTTCATTCAGGGACCCCAGACCTCTGTCCCCAGCCCCCTGCTCCCTTAGGACACAAACCCCCACCACACTTCTTACTGGTACCCTAAAGTTCAAGTTACTCAGCTCATGCCTGTGATCTTATTATTTGGGAGGCTGAGGCAGGAGAATTTCTATGAGTTTAAGGACAACCTAGGATATATATTGAATTTCAGGCCAGTTTAAACTACAGGTGGAGACCATCTCAAAAACAGAAAACTAAATAAATAACCAAACTGAGCATGGTGGTAAACACCTGTAGTCCCAGCACTCAAGAGGCTGAGGCAGGAAGGTTACAGGTTTTGAGATCAGCCTGGGCTACGTGAGACCCTGTCTCAAAAACAAACAAAACATAAAATTAAAAGTTCAAGCCCCAACCTTCGAATGTATATAGCGGAGAAATACAACATACAGGGTCAGGGGCCAAAAGGAGAGGAGATGGGTCACCTCTCCGCCAACACTCAGCTTTTCTAGTAAGCATTCTTTCCAAGATTGGAACAAAGGCTTGCACAGGGCTCCCTTTAAGGAAGGGAAAGGGGTTAAAAACACGCAAGGCAATTTCCCTTCACGACCACCAGAGGGCGCAGGGCCCTAGGTGCTTAAAGGATTAGCCTGGGCCCGACCGGTTATCCAGGAGCTTATCGGTGATGGTGGATTGCGGACCTGATGATGTCGGGGTTCCCAGACACCCCGAATCAATCCCAGGAAGCGAAGAAGCTATGGTTACCTCGCTCTGCCACCGGCTCTGGCTCCTCGGGGGCTGGGAGGGGCAGGAGGAGAAGCGAGGATTGGGAGGGAGGTGCAGGGAGGAGCAGCCACACAGGAGCGCGGAGGGGTGGGAAGAGAAGCAAGATGCTGTTAAAGACTGGACCCAGGATCCTCCAGCCCAACACATCATTCCTTCCCCTACCCCCACCCCCAAGCCTTAGGAAGAGACCTGTGGGATTCAAGCCTCACCTTCCTCCTCCTCCACCGCTTCCTCATCTGGAAGGAGTGGGGACGCACAAAGAAAATGTTAAGAACTCTGGAGCATCGAATGAATGTGTACCAGAGACTCAAAGACTAGCCTCAGACCTCGCCCCTCAGACCCAGGAGATTAGGCCTCAGTCCTCCTCCCTCAGACTTGGAGTCCAGGCTCCATTCCTCCTCCCTCAGACCTGGAGTCCAGGCTCCATTCTTCCTCCTTCAAACCTGAGAGTCCAGGCCTCAGCCCTCCTCCCTCAGACCTGGAGTCCAGGCTCCATTCTTCCTCCCTCAGACCTGAGAGTCCAGGCCTCAGACCTCCTCCCTTAGACCTGAGAGTCCAGGCCTCAGCCCTCCTCCCTTAGACCTAGGGTCCAAGCCCTAGTCCTGGGTAGAAGACTGGGTTAACAAGATGACCCTCTGCCCCAGCAGCAAATGTAACAGGGGAGCATTTCTAGTTGCTACCAGGGGTTTTCTGAGAGCAGTTTCAGAACACCTCACCCCTACCCCTACACAAGTGGGGCTCGACTGCTCCATGAGCCAGCTTCCTCCTGCTTCCTCCAAGACAGGACACCAGAGGGCCTACTCTACCCCTTAGGCTGGCCCACTGCCCACTCACCTTCTGCCTGTTCCCTAGAGACATGAACAAGGAGAGAGGAGGGAAGAGAGGACAGTTAGACATCTTGGGATAGGGTGCTCTCTCCACACGGCAAGCCCCCACCCCCCAGACGGCATTGCTTACTCCTCATAGTCTTGTTCTTCGGTGTCTGACATCCTGGAGTGACCTGCAGACCAGAGAGAGGAGGCTGAGTGAGATAGGTCCTCAAGGAAGAGGGCTGGTGCCTGGACTCCTGAGTCTGAGGGAGGGGTGATGGGGTTTGGACCCCTGGGTCAGGGAAGGCTGGCCCCCAGCCCAGCCAAGCCCAGTCCATGGAGGTCAGGCCCTAGTCCCACACGGAGCAGCCTACCCTGCCTCTTTCACCACAGCTGTCTTCTTTTGTCCTGTGACAGGTCCATGAAAACCTGATCCCAGGAGGGATTAGGAGGTACTGGAAAAGGGACAAGATTTGAAGACAATAGCTGCCCCACCCCTAGTGCTATTTTGGGGGAATGTCACAGACAGAGAAACAGAGGACATTTCCCAATAAGGAATTGGAGAAGTGGGGCTCCCCCACCCCACTCCCATTGCCCCCCTCCTCCACAGCCCCTTTGTTTGCCTAGGATTCCTCCACTTTCACCTACATTCTGCAAAGGGATGGGTGTCTCAAGAGCAGCTTCGTCCTGGGCCCCTAAAACCACTAGCTCCCCCCTCCAAACTCTGCTTCTCTAGGCCTGAAGGTCCCCAGGTTGAGATCTTCAGAGCTCAGTACCCACAGATCTGAGACCCAAATCTTATGCCCCTGTTACGTGACATCAAGAAATCTTAGCGTCTCTAGACTGGGTGCCCAATTCATACTCGTACGTGTCTGGGAGTATGTGTCCATGCACTTATATTCTGAGACCCGCAGAATTGGGGGGGGGGAGCTGGAGGGTGGTGTTGAGACAGGGTCTCATATAACCTAAGCTAGCCTTAAATTCACTATGTAGCTGAGGATAACCTTGAATTCCCGATTCTTCTGTCTCCCAGAACATCAGATACAGCCTGTACCTGTCTGGCCCCAGGTATACGGTCCTCAAATAAAACTTGACAACCAAACTCAGAGGTCTCTTTCAGGACACCCTGAATAACAGTGCCACTGTTCCTAATAGTTGGTTGCTTCTTTTTTGGTATTGCAAGAGGGGACCTTGCTGTTTTTCAGGCTGGCCCTGAACTCAAACTCCTCTGCCTCAACCTCTTAAGCATCGGAACTCCTGGCCTGTACCACTGAGATCTCAGGCTCTAAGCCCTCCCCAGTTCCTCATACCTCATACATCCCAATGCCTAACTCATGGGGGGCATCTTCTGCAGTTTCCCCAGCCTCTGAAACCCACACCGTTTTGTTTGGGTCTGCTTTGTTTTGGGACAGTATTACCATGTAGCCCTGACTAGCAAGAGCTCTCTTTGTAAACCCGGCTAGACTTAAACTCATAGAGATCCACATCTTCAGCATGCTTCCTCCACGATGTTAAGAAGAGCACCCCCAAAATTACATAACTCACAGATTCTACCCCTCCACCCTTTCCACCCCACGTCTTCCCCAAAAGTTCAGGCTTAGCTGGGTTGCTGCTGCCTATAATCTCAACTCCCAGGAGGCAAAAGGATTGCAAACTCAAGGCCAGCCTGTGCTACAGAATCTGTCTCAAAGGAGGAGGAGGAGGAAGAGGAGATTCTACCCTCACTGTTATACCTAGTCCCCATTCCCCAAAGACATCAGTGCAAAGAGCTCAGAGCCCCGTTACCTAATGCTGGGTCCACAGATGCTGTAGAGGGAGTCTGAGGCTTCTGAGGACAGTGACATAGCCTCTGGGTTTATAGCTAGATGCTGAGCCCCGCCCCAGGATTCCGATGTTCTGACCATCCCCCATGCTTAGAGCCCTGCTCTGCCCCCGCCTCTGGCTCCATCCAGTTTTGGGGTCCAACACCTGTCATCTGCTTCATGATCCCGCTGGATTTCCATTAGCAAACACCCTAGGGTCCAGGCTACGTCAGGGTACCCCTCAAGCTCTCTTAGAGTACCCAGTGCTTTGGAGTCCCCAAGACTGGAAACAGTACAGGAAAAGGGGGCTTAATGACAAAGCGTGAGATGTCTTAAGTGAGGCTTCCTTCTACCTCTGTGTGGCTTTTCTCAAACTTCTCTTATGGCCTCTGTCTCTGGCTTCCATCTGTATATTCTGTGTCTTTTCCAATCTGCCCCTATTCCTCTATATCTCCCTTCTCTGTCTCTGTCCAACTGTCTCCCCCCTCCCCACCCCCACTCCTTTGTCCACCACCAAAATTCCACCATGGTGACAACAGGCAGCTAAAGCTGGGAAGCAGGTGTGGGGAGGAGGGAGGGGATGGGGTGTCAAGCTAGAGAGCCCTCACCATGCCAGCCCCTCCTCTTTCCAACCAACCGGATCTTTTTTAGTATCCTCCCACCACTAACCCCCACTCCAGTCATGCGGTGACCTTGAACTCTAGGGAAGCCAGTGCCTGCAAAGCAAGCTTCCTTCCCCCTGTTCGTTTGTGTTTCTGTGCATTTCTGTGGGTGTGCCAGCTCTCTCTTCCCCTCTGGGGTTTGGACTCTTTTTGATATCTCTCTCTCTCTCTCTCTCTCTCTCTCTCTCTCTCTCTCTCTCTCCTCTCTCTTCCCTCTCTCTCTCTTTCACTGTCTGTCTGTCTATTGTCTGGACTACTGTGAAATTCTACATAATTTTTGTTTTCTTTTGTTGGTGGTGGGGTAAATGATTTGAAATGAAAGATGCCCCACATAGCAGGTGCCCTGTAGCCCATGCTAGCCCAGAACTCATTATGTAACTAAGGATGACCTTGAACTCCAAATCCTCCAGCCTCCACCTTCCAGTGTTGAGATTGACACAGTTTCTCCAAGATTCTGTCCTTGTGTGCTTCTGGGGGTGTGTCTGTATGTTCATTTAAGCTGTTTCAGTATCATGTGAGCTCTGCCTCTTTGTCTGGGCCGTATGTCTGTCTTTCTCAATCCTTCTGCCTCTCTCTCTGCTCGTTCTCTTTCTCATTTTCTATTTCTGTAGGGGGATTTGTAGTTATGGGTTGGGTGGTTGCTTGGTTAGTTGGTTGGTTTTGGTTTGAGTTTGGTTTTGGGTTTTTTTTGAGACAGGATCTCACTATGGCTGGCCAGGAACCCAGTATGGAGACCAGCCTAGCCTTGAACTCACAGAGATCCAGCTGTCTCTGCCTCCCGGGTGCTGGGATCAAAAGTGTGTGCCACCACGCCTGACTTACTTTTCTATTTCTGTCCCTTACAGGATCTCCATCATCTGTCTGCCTCACTGTGAATATAACCGTGTTTCTATTTTTCTTTTCTTGGAACTCTAAAAAAATTTATTTTTAATAAAAAAATTGTAATATGTATGGTAGATAGAGTTTCCTTGTCTGAGCAGAAGCCAGAGGAGGACATAGGATCTCTTGGCACCAGAGTTACAGATATTTTTGAGCTGCTATGTGGGTGTTGGGGATCAAACCTGGATCCTCTAGGAAAAACAGCCAGTTCTCTTAACCCCAAAGCCACCGCTGGGGCCACTTGCACATCTCTCCTTGGGTTTGGCATGTTCTATGCCCTCTGTAGAGGAGACTAGCCCATGTGAGAAACCATGTTAGAGACTTGCCTGTGACCACACCCCATATGGCTCTGGGGAACACCAACCCTCATTTACCCTTCTCAAGTGCCCCAGGGTAGCAGACACACAGTCACTTCCAGTTTGGAGAGGTTTATTCCTCAGGTACACCCTTCAGAGCACAGGATGGGAGCCATGAGCTCAGCCCTCAAACTTTTTCTTACGGCCTTCCATCCCACTTAGTGCGTCGATATTCTTGCGCCAATCTCCCACCTCCCGGTTTTCCTGGAGGTGGAAGGTCAGAGGTTAAGGACTCTTTCTAGTCTCTAACCCCTGAATATCCTCTATCTGCCCTCTAGCTTGCTAGACCATTCTGTGCTGGAAGCCTTTCTAAGAATCTGGTTCTTGAGTGCTTCCTGTCCCCTCAAACAACCTGTCACACTTCCTGTAATCACTTCCCATCTCCCCATGTACCTCCACTCACCCCCATGCACTTCCTGTCTCCTCCAAGCACTTCCTGTCTCCCTCAAGCACCTCCAGTGTCTTTGTACTTCCTACCCCTCACTACTTCCTCTCACCCAATGCACTGTCTTCCGACTTCTTGAGTTCCCTTTATCAGAAGCTTCTCACTAGAACCCCAAGTGCGTCTGCTCTCTGCCTGGACCGTATGCCCACTCAGACCTTCCTTCTCACCCTATCCCACACTCACCTTCTCAATGTCCTCCTTCTTCACCTGCTTCAGGTGGGCCCTCAGGTCCAAGGATTCCTTGGCTCGGGTCCCCAGCAGCGCCTGCATCATGGCGTCTGCAGAGATCCTCACTCTTCGGAGGGTGGGCCTCTTAAACTTGCCACGCAGGTCATAGATCTTCTGGGTCAGATCTGCAATCTGGGGAGGACCGTATGGGAGGCCCCATCTTCCTTTTGCTTCCTTCCTGAACGTCTCTTCTAACCAAGCTTATCTCTATCTTGCTCTCAGTAGCTACGCTTCCTCCTCTCTTCCAGCTCTGGCTCCAGATTAAAGCCTCTAATCTGCAACTCTGTGTTCTTCATGATCCTCCCAGCCCATCAATCAAAGCTTCTGACACAACTGAACCTGATGATATGCGTGTCATTACTCCCTGTCCCAGAGCTCAACTCAGTGCTCAACTTCCACAGACCTGTTTGTGCCACCCAGGCTTTGCCTTGCACGTGTTGTCTCTCTAAGCAGACAGCTTCCTTTGCCACGGTGTACCTATGCCGCTGCCTGCTTTCTGCTTAGAGTTATGTCAAGCACAAACATCCATAGCCCTCAGCCTGAAGCTACAGCCTGGAGATCTCAGTCTACTGTGAAGGCGCCCAGGCTTCCCCAGGCTTCCCACCTCAGTGATGTTCTTGGTGACTTTTGCTTCCACATCGTATCTCTCTTCATCCACTTTGTCCACACGAGCGTGAAGCTGCCGACATAAGTCCTGATGAAGGAAGCATGGGTGTTGAGAGGGAGGCTGGAGACGGGGTTCCTTCATCTGAGAGAGCAGACCTCTGGGTCTGAGGAAGGAGACCTCAGCTCTGGACCCCTGAGTTTCAGAGAGGATTGCTGGCCTCTGGACTCCTGAGTCTGAGGAAGGAGGGGATGAAAGGAAACTGACGCTGGAATCTGCACTCCAGGGAACTTAAAGAAGTTTGGCCAGGAGTCAAGAATTCTGAGACTGCGATAAAGGCTGGAGAAATACACTGGGTTTTGAAGTTGTAGGACTGAATGTTTGGGAGAAGGATTGCAGGTCCCTAGCAGAACTGCAGATGGCGCTTGTGCTCCTAATACCCAAGGGATGCCAGGCCAGAGATGAGGGACCGCGGGTCCCAGGCTCATCAAACTGGTACCTGAAGCTCTTCAAAGCCCAGCCCATCCAACTCCAAAGGCTGGCAACGAGTGCTCAGAACACGCCCCTTCTCTCCGCGTCGCTCTTCTGCCTCACGCTCCAACTCCTGCTTTGCAATCTGCAGCATCAGAGTCTGCGAAATGATGGGAGAAGACAACAGAGTCCCCGAAAGTATTTTAAAAAAAAAAAATCCCTCCATCTTCCAGAGAGACAGAATATCCGAACATCCAAGTTTGTGTCTTTTATTCAAAAACTGCGCACTGTGTGTGTGTGTGTGTGTGTGTGTGTGTGTAGGACTGACACTCTCCGAAACGCTCCCCCCAATGCTCCGCCCACCTAGGCCCGCCCCTCCGAGCTCATAGTCACCTTCAACTGAAGTTTTCTGGAGGCGGAGATCTTAGATTTTTTCTGCCAGGGTGATATGGAGAAAGTTCAGTATGAGGTCCCAAAGTGGACACTGGGCGGGGCTGCAAGTCACCACCACCGACCCAAGTCCATACCCATTCGGGTCACTCATTCTTCAACCAGAACGGCGAGTCCACTGGAAGCCACGTCCCTCTGCCTCCTCCATCCATCTTTGTCTCTGGCTAGAGCTACACAGTGCCTACTACCCACTGCTAACCATCATGCTCACGCCTAAGCCTTGCTGTAGGCAGAGGAGTTCCTCCCACCAACCCTAGATTGCACCTTTCTGAAACTCTGCCCCACCCATCGGGCTCTGCCCATCACCAAAGCGCTACCACCCCTTTCCAAGTCCTTGGTGCCACCCCTCCCTGGGTCCTAGGGGATTCTGAACCCAAAAGCCCCGTCCTCTAGGACCCCTGCCCACCTTGGCGTGTGGTTCGGTGGCATAGGCTCGGTAGTTAGCAGAGGAGCGGCGTCGGACAGGAGCAGGCGCGGGCTGAATTGAAGCAGGCTACATCACTACCCAAATCTACCCGTCCAGTTCTTCCTGGATCCCTCACCTCTAGCGGCAGGTTCAACTGCCCACCGGTCCCCAGCCCTCTCTCCCTACGGCACCCACTCTGGGCCAAGGGTTCCCTACCCCACTTCTTAGCTCACAGCGCTCACCGCATCGCTGCTCCTGAAGGGAGAGAAACCATGAAGAGGAAATCATTGACGGTGGTCCCCCGACCAAAAGGCTGAGGCTACCTCCTCCACTCCCTCGAACCCCAAGAATCTGATTCCCAAATTCTTACCTCATTTCTACAGAAATCCAACCACCCTTGGCTCCTACCATCTCAGGACAAGTATCCAACCTAGTTGCACCCTCACGTGGCCCCCGAAGACTGATTGCGCCTCTCTCCCTGTTTCTTGGGGTCTCTAGTCCAAAGTTACCAAGATTCACATACTCGTCCGCCATGCTGATCTCCAGAGGCAGAGAACGGGATCGGAGATTCCGGAAGGGTCCTGGAAGGGTGTCCCCGGTGACCTTGGAGGTCTCTAGAGGTTGGGTTCCCTCTGGGCTGTTCAAGCCTCACTGAGGACACTGAGATAAGGGGCGAGGACAAAGACTAAATATACTGCTGGCTCCTCCCCTGCCCAGGATGAGAGATAACAGGCTGTGAGGGGAGCCGTGTGCAAAGCTCCAGTTGGATCAACCAAGGTGCCCGGGATCTACCCCCCTCCTCATTCTGACTCTGGCGCCCCAGTTCCCTTTTCCCTCAGACTCTGGAAAACCCGGGAGCAAGGGTCCCTCTTCTCTCAAATCCAAGAGTCCAGACTTCAGCTTCCGGTGTTCATACCCAGAAAGCCAGGCCGGCCTTCTCTCCTTACACCTAGGCCCCTCAACAAACTGTAGTCTTTCTGAGACCTAGACTGTCCTTTCTCTCCTCCATATTTCTGTCAGTTTCAGTGCCCCTAGCATGTTTAGTTTGAAGGTTCATGTGTAAGTTCCTCAGCCTGCACCGCTGCGAAATTCAGCCACGTCTACTTGGAAACCTACAACCGGGGCCCATCCCCCCTGCTCCTACCCCCTTCTTGGCACTGGAGACCGACTGAGGACAGGACACACAGAGGTGACCCTGCGCTCTTTATTTGAACCACTTTCAAGGGAGGATATGTCCTTGTCCCTCCCAAGAGTAGCAAGAAGGGACCGAGACAAAAGAGAGGATCTGGAGCCCAGGGTTGTACCTCCAGCCTGTGATTCAGGATAAGTCTCAGATAACAGTCTTGGACCCCCGCAAGATTAGAGCTAAGAGTTCCAGGAAAGGAATTTGAAATTCTAGTTATATCACTGGGGTTGACAAGGAGCGCAGAGCAAAGCAGCATTCCAGAGGTGGGCTGAGCTAGTCAATCCCAGGGCCTGCTTCAGCTGTTAAAGATGGGATACTTGGTCCCTGGGGTTCATGTTACATGTTTTGGAGGTGCATCCACCAAGGACATTGCCAGAGCTTCCTGGAGTGGGCTTATCACTTCCAGAGGAGGGGCCGGGTCTGCTTCGGAAGGGATGATTGCTTCTAGAGGCAGGACTAGCTCAGCCTGCAGTGGGTTCATCGCCTCTAGAGGTGGGATCTGGTCAACTTTGGGTGGGCTCACCACCTCTAGAGATGCGGCCTAGTAAGCCTGAGGTGGGTTCATCACTTCTAGAGGAGGGGGCAGATCAGCCTGGATTGGGCTCATCGATTCTAGAGATGAGGTCTGGTCAGCCTGGGATTGGCTCGTCGCTTCTAGAGGTGGGACCTGGTCAGCCTGGGATGGGTTCATTGCCTCTAGAGGCAGGGTCTGGTCAGCCTGTGGTGGGCTTGTC